TACGGGGGCAACACTGAGGGTTGCGATCCGTTGCTGGACACGGAAAAAGACAAAAAAAAAGCAACTTATAAATCTGCATATTCCTAATTGTGAAGTTATCATGTGCAGTTTGTCAGAATTGTTTCCAGATCATTCTCCTATTGCAGGATGAGTCTGCCATGAGGTTGAGGCTACCAATTTCTTGTCACTTAAGAACTGAATTTGGTATGAGTTATGTTACCTTTTAGCTGCGCTTGCTCCCTGCACTCTTTAGTCTCCAGTGACCACAGCTGAACACACACGCACACACAGAGGAACAGGAACTGGATAAACATTTCGTGTGAACATTCCCCGTTCTGATTTTCAAGCCATGAGCCAGCTTTGGAAGCTGGTCAGTGCACCAGGCCTGTGGTGAGGCCCTGGCCCCTGGCAGAAGCAGATCTGAGCTCAGGGCTGTTCTGACCCTCCCTGGCTTTGAGACCTTGGTCAGCTCACTTCATCTGCTTTGGCTTCGGCTTCCTTCATCCGTAAGATGGAGAGAGTCATGATTCCCACGCCACAGTGCTGTTGAGAGAATTAAATGGCATGCTGTATGTGACACCCCCGGCTTGGTACCTAGCATACAGCCATGACCATGACCTTCCCTGTTGTCTCAGTCAGCCATGGCACTTGCTGTCAGTTGCTGCTCAGGCCTGGCGCAGGTGTTCTGGGCAGCCAGTAGGGAGGAGGGAACCTGGTCAGCCTCGGGGAAGCCTATTCTGTGTTCCCCTTTCAGGAACCCGGCCCCACGCATGTGGGTGGGTCTCTACTGCCCCCTGCCCTAGTTCCACAGCTGACTCCTGTGACCCACTCTGTCCCCCCAGGGGCCATGGGCCACATCTGCCATGTGTTGTGCTCATCAGAGGGCTGCTGGGGCCCAGAGCCGAGAGACTGTGTCTCCTGCCGAAACGTCAGCCGCGGCAGGGAGTGCGTGGAGAAGTGTCACATTCTGGAGGGGTGAGATGTTGTTCTTTATGTCCCTTGTTCTGGTCAAAAGGAAGACCCAGGGTTATTTTTATGGGTTTATAGTTACTCAGTTTGATTCCTTTCCATTTTTTTCCCTTTTGGGGGGTTGGTTTGCTTGTATGTTTGTTTTTTGGCAAACTGTTCATCACAATAGAAAATAAGCAAACTTTTTTTGTTCTTGCTTAATCCAATAATTTATAGAATCTCTTTTCCTGGAAATATCTTAAATTGTTCTTAGCTACTCAAAGTTCCCGAGATAAATAGAACAATTATAAATGGTTGAAATGGCCGAGATTGTGGCCATTTGGTCTTGGCAGTTCACTGTTCCTGGTATGTCAAAATGTATTCATGGATACAAATCATATGTCCTGGTTAATTTTTGTTTTATGAGCCCCCAGCGTGCATTGGACATTGACAGTGCAAATAACTTTAAACATAACCAAGGACAAAAAATAAATTCGTATGGTTGTTGAATTTAGTTGCAGTAATCTAAATCAACAGTTGTGGATACTATGAGAATCTTGATATTGATGTAAGGCTTTGAATGACTACAAATAATGACGAAAAATAATTAATAGGAAGGTAAAACTGAAGGATAGAAAGGCAGAGGCAATTTTTTAAAAATTTAAGGAAAAAGGGAAACTACATGATAGAGATGAGCCATAGGAGTTACAAGTGGCTGCAGGAAATCTTTCTGTGTCACTGTCAGGGTAGATCACAGCCTGGATCCAGAAATACCAGGGTCCTTCAAAAAGTTTGTGGGAAAAATAGAATTAAAAGATAATGCGAATCTTTCCATGAACTTTTTGAAGAACCCTTGCATCAGTCTGTTTTCTGTTGCTTATAACAGAATACCTGAAGCTGGGTAATTTATAAAGAAATGAAATTCATTTCTACGGTTTGGGAGGCTGGGCAGTCCAGGGCCCAGGGAGCACGTCTGGCAAGGGCCTTCTTTCTGGTGGGACTCTGCAGGATATCACACCGCGAGGGCTGGGCAGGAACGTGCCAACGTGCTCACTTGCGCACCTTATACAGTCACCAAGTGCCACTCCCATGATAACCATTCATCCATTAACCCAGTAATCCATAAATTGACTGATCTATCCCTGAGGGCAGGGCCCTCATGATCCAATCACCTCCTGAATGCCCCATCTTTCAACACTGCTACTTTGGGGATCCGTCTTCCACAGGAGCTTTGGAGGAGTCAAACATTCGAGACTTGTTAACCCTCATACCCAGGAGCAGGAGGAGAAGACCAAATTCAGTTCTGTAGGAATCCTTTAGCTGATGGGCTCAGTGCCCCATCTTTCAACACTGCTACTTTGGGGATCCGTCTTCCACAGGAGCTTTGGAGGAGTCAAACATTCGAGACTTGTTAACCCTCATATCCAGGAGCAGGAGGAGAAGACCAAATTCAGTTCTGTAGGAATCCTTTAGCTGATGGGCTCAGGATGATTTGCATAAAGGATGGTGCTGTTCCAACTGCAGGGAAGGAAGACTGGTGCAATCCTTGCTGTTACAAATAGATCCTCATTTCATGTTTCCAGTTTAAAGAAACAAGGCAATTAAAAGAACCATGTTACGGGTGCCTTGTGTCCTTCTGTTAGTGCAGAGAAACCCAGTGTCCAGCACAGCTGCTCCCTTTGCAAGACTGGCCCCTTCAGCAGGAGTGGTGACCCAGAGAAGAAGCACAGAGCAAATGCCCCTGCATCATGTTTGGCTTAATCAATGCCATTTGCCTGAAAGGGAGGACTTACAGCACTCGGAAGTCCTTGTTTGCTGCTTAGAGTGAACATGTGTGGTGAATGACCAGGCAGAGCTTAGTCTTTTTAACATCTGTGGTGACTGTTTTGTCTTTTCAGTCAAGCATCAGCTTCTTGTTTAACATTGATCCGTACATCTTGACAAGTGTTGAAAATATTACAAGCAAAATTTTTCACTCCTGTTTTCCATACTTACTATTTTTAGTAGTAACCACTGAGCAAGTTTTAACATCCTCCTTCCTTTTCCCATCCCTTGGTCTACAATTACTATTTCTTTCCAGTTCATTTAAATACGCATGAATCTGGAACAGGGTGGGGCATCTCATAAAGACTTTTTTTTTTCATCTTTTGGATTGCTTAATTATACAAAAACTAGGCCTGTAGAAAAATGTAGGAAAGGTGTTTTGTTATAAGTGAAGAGTAGTATTTATTTATTTAGGGAGAAGATGAACAAGGATTCAGTTAATAAGATCAGTTTATTATATTACAGTATAGTCCTAGAGTCCCAGCTCTTTGAACTTTACCTGAAATTGAGTTTCCGAGAAAGGGGAGTCGTGTCCCTGAGACAGTCCACACGACCCGCATACTGAAGCAGCCCTCAGGGCAGAGCACTGATCAGTGTCCTTTCTTCTCTCAGGGAGCCAAGGGAGTTTGTGGAGAATTCCGAGTGTATACAGTGCCATCCGGAATGTCTGCCCCAGGCCATGAACATCACCTGCACGGGACAGGTAAGGAGCACCTCAATGCTATTCACTCCCACTTCCCCGGGAAGAGCCTGCCCACCAGCAGAACCATGACGGGGACCCAAGCCATCCTGTGGCCGGGAAGGACAGCCGTCAAGGCCCCTTCTCAGGGAAGAACCAGTGGGATTGACAGCTGTACCCGAGTGGCTGTTGTCACTTGTGGGAAGTTGTCACACAATCACCTTCATCTTTCCAAATTGAGTGATGACATTTCTTCACCACAGCACAGGGAAGCCCACAGTGGGCCTGGTGACCGTCAGCCAGCTCTTACGATCTCTGACATCTGTCACCATTGCTTTATCATTTCAATCAAACGTCATTATCAAATTCTTCTTTAACGCTAGTTTATGATCAGTGGAAAGAGTTTTAAAGAAGCTCCTAGCAAAACTTTTTAAAATCCAGTTTCATATCTACATGTTCAATACCAATCTTATAAAGAACTGAGAACTCAGCTGCCTTGCACAGTAAATGTTCCAATGCTGTTAATTCTCAGTGTTATTTATAGAAAGAGCTCTGTTTGGATTGAGCTTCAACAGCCATTATCTACATCTACTAATTGAAAACGTCTTTCAGACGTTCTCCCTAAATCGGGCAGAAGATGAGAGGACTGTGTTTCGGGGTATAGGCTGCCAGCACGGCTGGTTACAAAGTTTATAGGTTTACATGTTTTAAAGGTTTACGTGGTTTATAACTTTACCATTGGTTTATAGGTTTACATGGTGTTGGGTTAAATTTTCATCATTAAAGTAAAATAATTGGCGATACTGACTCATTTACCCAGCTGTTCTGGCTCTGGATATACTCAGCCTTCGAGTGGACAACACTGAGACACTGAGGAACTCAGCCTGGGGACGATCCTTCCCTGCCAGTTTTATTTCAGTCCCCTGAGGAGCGTGGGGCACACACCAGGGCAGCCCCGACACTCACTCCTGTGACTTTTGCATGGGGATTCCCCCGAGTTTACAAACACAACCAAATGTAGATATTGCTCAGTCTGTTATGCAGCCACCCCTACAGTTACATGTGCCACCTTCCTGTCACTGGAGAAACATCCATGAGGGTTTTCTTAAATTTGCCTCAGCAAATCTGCTTCCCTCAGAGATTCCCTTGAACATCAAATACAATATATGAGAAAGACTGACCAATAAGATATAAATATCCACGTGGGCCAATCAAAATGGTTTTGACAAGGAGAGAGGCCCACAGTGTGCTAAGTCACATGCAGCATAGAGTATAGTTTCTCTTAGTGTCTGTCACATGCATCCAAAGTTAGAAAGACTTCATACGACTTCATACTAAGTTGCTAACAGTGGTCAGATCCAGTAAGTTCAGTCACAGAAGAACCTGTTTTCTAAGAACTTCTAAATCACTTAGATTTTTTCCCCACCGTAAATATTTTAAGTAAAAAGCTCCTTCCTTTTTGAGAAAGAAAGAGATGCACATAAATGTGTTTCTCCCCTTGGTGCAGGGCCCAGACAACTGCGTCAAGTGTGCCCACTACATTGATGGCCCACGCTGCGTCAAGACCTGCCCAGCTGGAGTCATGGGGGAAAACAACACCCTGGTCTGGAAGTATCCAGACGCCAGCCAAGTGTGCCACCTGTGCCATCCGAACTGCACCTATGGGTGAGTGGGGCTGAGACCGGAAGAGAAAGTGCAGAACACGATATGTCCTGTCTCATGTATTCGTAGATTGAAAGTCTCCACAGTTTCCAGGCAATAAATTATAGAGGCCATGAACACAGTTTGAGCCATGGCCACAGCAGCCACCACAATATGCTCACGGGCAGATCTCAGTGCTGGTGGGAACACCTCTCTGCACCTCGCAATGTGTCTCCCACCAGGGCTGGCCCCGCAATGCCCCAGGTTTAGACGAGAGAGAGCAAGTGAGCAGAGGAACCAGGGCCCAGGCTGGCAGCAGCCACCTCCGCCTCTTTCCAGAGGGCGTTCTGGATCTCACCAGGTTACCATCGGTCATGTGGGGATTGACTTTTTCGTTATTTTGCAGTTAATAAAAGGTAGCATTGCCTGGAATGTTGTTTAAAGACATTTTAGCTAGTTGATTGTTAAGCTGTCAGTACATGAATTAAAACTATTTTGACTGGAATTAGCAGAAGCATTCTGATTTTATGTATCTTACTTACTGGAAAATTAATTTGGCCATCAAATTGGAGTACGCCCAGCAATCAGAAAGAGAAGTTGAGTTGTCATTTATGTTATTTCACATTTCCTGTACTTCTCAAAATCTGCAACCTTACTTGGAACTGCTCCTCTTTCTCTCCCTGGATCTGTATGATGCAGTGTGGCCTTGGAAAGTGTCTTACCTTCTCTGTGCCTCCCTCTCTTGGTCTGTAAATTGGAGTAACAACCTTGCATACTCACGGGACTTTTATGCGGGTAGTGTATGTCGTGCACTTGAAACAGTGCCTGGAGCAGGGCGAGCGCTGGACCAGTGATGGCGCCGACGTGGGGGTGATGGTGAAAATCAGGATGATGAGTGAATTTTCTAGGAAGACAATCACATCATCTCCAATAATGATATCCTAATCTCCCTACCAACACACACAGTTTCAGATTGTATCATACAGGTCACAGTTTCTAGAACAGCATCATGAGCCAACCGTGTCAGAGCCCACGGAAGCCGGCCTGATTCCCAAGGCTGCTGCACCCTCCCCCAGGCAGGGGGACTACCCAGGGGATGGGGAGGGAAACTTAAACATGTCCACTTTTAAATGGAAGCACATTTTCATTGTAAGAGTTGAGGGGAAGCTTTCTTGAAAATTTTTATCCTGATAAATAGTATGAGAACGTGCCTATTTTAATTGTATGTAGCAAGATTTAGTAACTAGTATAATTGCAGTTTGGCCTCCTTGACTTCGTATGCAGCAATCATCTCGGCAAATTTGAGTGAGGACCTCATCAGCTCTCCCAGGGCCTCGTAATCTTGTGATACTCGAATGGTTCTCTCCTGCAGCACCTGTCCTGTCCCTGTACTGTCAATCAGCTCTTCAAATGTAAATTGGTCTGAGCTTGTTTGCACAGCTTCCTGTTAGCAATCCCCATGGTTTTCCAACAGCACTTTCAGAGGCTGCATGAAATCCAGCATCTTGTCCAAAATTTGCAATTTCTGTATGCATTCACTCTGCATAATGCTCCTATGGTGTGACATCCAGCAGTAAGGGACAGACTGCCACACATGGCAGGACAAATGAGTGTGAGGAGGGATAGTTTGAGTAGGGCCTGGTTTTATCAGCGTCATTTCATTAGCGAATCTTTTTGTCTTTGCCTATTTTGGTGTTCCTTGAAGATAATAAACTGAAATAATCAGGCTGGTGCATTCCACTGTCTGAAGAAGCCTGTGTGTTTGGTTTATGAATAAAGCCCACAGGCACTGCAGGAGCAGGACTGCATTATCTGCCAGGGAAAGGAGGGGCCTGGCCGTCAAAACCAGGAAAAGCAGGATGCACAGACCTGAGGAATGGAGACAGAAGGTGTTGAGGACCAGGTGACAGTGTCAGGCTTCATGTGTTTGAGATGTAGTTGTGTATCATTCCCCAGGCCATAAATTGTGCGTCTCAGGGCTGACTTACTCTGCCTTTTTAAACCATCATCCTGTAATCAAAACAATGATGGGTGGCCTGTCCCATCTTCCCATGAGCCACACTTGAGATGAATTCTGTCTCTTCTGCGTATGAGACATTTCATGAGGGGAGGAGTGTGAGACCAGCCCTGCTCCAGGCATCCGTGTCTGTGTCACGTGGCACCTCCCTGCCTCTGAGACTCTCTCCTTCCCTCGTCCTTTCCTCCCTCTTTTCCTTTCCACCACTCTTTCTCGGGGCTGCCAGGTTCCCATGGGTGTGTCTGTGTCACGTGGCACCTCCCTGCCTCTGAGACTCTCTCCTTCCCACGTCCTTTCCTCCCTCTTTTCCTTTCCACCACTCTTTCTCGGGGCTGCCAGGTTCCCATGGGGTCTTCTTTCCAGCTCCTTCCACTCCCATTGGTGGCACCTTAATTTACCAGGGCTCGTTCCTTCTCTCTCGTGCTGTGATTATCCTCCTCAGCACCAGCCTCTTCTCCATTCACTCACCGCCAGGTGATCCTTCAAAGCTCAGGCTTGGCCGTAAGCCTGCAGTAACTCCACCCTGCAGTCTCCCCGACAGTCAGCGTGGCCCCCAGTACATGTCCCTAGGCTGGGCTCCCGCACCTCCCGTATCTACACTGACCTTCTAGAGCCAGCTGTGAGACACCATACCTATGTCACAAGTAGCGTGTGAACACATTTCAGTAATGAGCTGGTGGTGTTGCTCCATGCTAGAACAGACCATGTCACGGAGCAGGCACCCACAACTATCTGCTGAGTGAATGAACCAATGAATATGTGTATAATAAATCACCACCACTGCAACATTGAGGTGCACTGTGATTTTAATGATTTGAGAGTCATTTAACACACATTGGCTTATGATTTAATAAAACCTCTCCCAGAAAAAAAGGCCAAAAAAGTTGAACGAGAAAAATACGTATTTCTCTTTCAATTCTTACAGATGTGTTGGGCCAGGTGTGGACGGCTGTGCAGGCAGGTAGGTATCCCAGCCTGATGTCCCATGGGCCTCAGAATGACCTGGCGTGCTGTGCCGTGGACAGTGCTTCCTGTCTTTTGGGTCATCCTCTGGCACTGTCAGGTCCTCACGTCTCCTCTGGGCCAGTGTGGGAGTCTGGCGGAGACCACCCTGCAGGTTTCACCCTGCTCCCCAGGCTGACCTTGACTTTCAGTGGAGGGAACGCGGGCCAGGAGGGGCTGGGGCCTGTACGTGTGCAGCTGGGGCTAGGGGATCAAAGCTCGCTGCTCCTCTGTGTACGTGGCCTGTCTCTGACTTCTTTGGTTACACCGGTTTTGCTGGGTCCTTCTCTTCTGGATTCTCCACTTTTTCCCCACTAACTCAATTGGTTCTATCACAAACCCATGTTTGATGACAGAGCTCCTGTTTGGAGGGATTCTCTCTCCTTATTTCCTTTTCCAAGCACATTGCTCAGCACTGGCAATTTCCTCCAGCATTTCAATTCTGATCTATTTGCCATCAGTGCTTGAAATGCTGCCCTGAGAAAAGCAAGCCTGTGGATCCCTGCTCAGACTAATCAGGAAAAAGTGGTTTCGTCAATCACCGTGCCTAGTGAGGAATCAGGAATACACAAAACATGTGTTTGCCGTTTCTGATATCCCAGAACACTAGCCACACCTCCAGGCACCTCCACTATCTCTGATAATATCTACAAAATCCCTTCCCTCACCGGCCCTTCTGCAGCTTCAGCACACTTTTGTCCCAGAACTGATGGTGCTGGCCGGTTTCTCCTGTCACCCCATCTCCTCACGGAGCCTGCAGGGACACACAGCAAAAGTGCTCCTCTCTTCTACCATAATCTCAGCATCACGGTGACAGGTTCTAGCATGTCCCCACTTTGAACCAGTCGATGACTGTTCTTTGTTACATTACCCTTTTTAAGAGCAAATAAAGTGTTGTAAACTATCATTTTTATGCAGTACATTTGGCCCACTTAAGAGAAATTTGTTAGGACTCTGGACATTTTATATGACCAAATCATGCTGCTAATTAATCTTTGATATTCGTGAACATTTCCACCTCAAAACATGAGTCAATTTGCCAGCAGCTCACATGGGATAGATACTTAGGTACATTTGGCCCACTTAAGAGAAATTTGTTAGGACTCTGGACATTTTATATGACCAAATCATGCTGCTAATTAATCTTTGATATTCATGAACATTTCCACCTCAAAACATGAGTCAATTTGCCAGCAGCTCACATGGGATAGATACTTAAGAAGCGTAACTTTCTAAAGACTCCAAATTCAGATGCTCCTTTCCCCAGTGAGCTTGCAGCCCAGCTGCCGAGTTCTCCCTCTCTCTGAAATGAGACACGACCTCCATGGGAGGGAGGGGTTCGTGCACCCCTGCAGTTTGAGGCTGCGTGAAGACATCACTCACTGCGACAGTGGTGCTTTTTATGTCAAAATTCTGTCACTTTACAACCTCCTGCAAGTTTATTCTTAGAGCATTTGCACAGCTGCAGGTCCCATGTTGAAAGCCCAGCCAAGGACCTTCATAGGAGGCTCATGTCACTGAAAGTTCCCTCCACACCACGTGCCCAGGAGACCATACCGGGCCCAGTGTAGACTTCTTCAATTGCGTGGAAATGCCCTTGGAAAGGACAAAATACAAATTCGCATAAAAAGCACTATTGAAGTCTAAATTCTATATTTTCTTAATCAACAAATTGAAAACTAAAAATCATCTGGAGAGGTCCAGATGAGACCTCAATTTTTAAAATACACAAAAGGGGCCAATATCAGCGTGTCATACAGGCAGGGCACGTGAACACGGCGGTGTCATGAAATCCTCCGCTAACCTCACCCTCCCTTGCTGTCCTCCTCCTCCCAGGCCTAAGATCCCATCCATCGCCATTGGGATTGTGGGTGGCCTCCTCCTGCTGCTGCTGGTGGCCCTGGGCGTCGGCCTCTTCATGCGCAGGCGCCACATCGTCCGGAAGCGCACGCTGCGCAGACTCCTGCAGGAGAGAGAGGTGAGCAGCAGAGGCCCTCCTTTGACAACTCGCAATTTGCAGTTTTGTATTCTAGATATATAATTGAATTATTTACTATGCATTATTCCTGTCGATGGAAAAATCCAGGAAGAATCTGAATGTCCAATTATACCCTATTAGTTACATTTTGGTACATCCATCCAGCGAAATGTAAATATTTCTAGGCCATGTCACAAAGTGCTTACAAAGCTGCATAGAGACCTTTTTAACATACAGCACCTGTGTGCTCACACAGGTGAGAGGCTTGTGCAGAGGTGTCTCTGAGCACCTGTGAAGGCGCTGAGGTTCAGATGAGAAGATAGGACTTTGGGGAATGCCCTGACCACACAGTGGCTGCTCCTGCCTGAGCGCTGTTTGTGGTTGTGCCAGTGTCTGTGTCCACCACTGTCCCTGGGAGGAGGGACCACAGCAGCTCCTGAGCATAGCGGTGCTGTGTGTCATGGGCCGGACAAGACTGTCAAAGTGTGACCACCATGGGAAAATTTTCCTCACCGGAGTTTTTCAGTCCAGCTAACTGGCCTGGAAACAGAAATAGAAATCGGGTGTGCTGAAATGTAGCTGTTCTCTGTTCCTACCATCTGTTAAGTTCCTTAGAGAAGGTGTGCGTTTCTTCTTGGCATGGGCCTGGTGAGTCATTTGCACTGCGGTACGACCGCGTGGGCCGCCGGCTGGTGCTCTGGACTGTCGTGGTGCCTGTGTCCCGTGCAGCGTGGTGAGTGGGCACCTCAGGTCTGCTTCCTTGTCTCTGACAGCTCGTGGAGCCACTCACCCCCAGCGGGGAAGCTCCCAACCAAGCTCTCCTGAGGATCTTAAAGGAAACTGAGTTCAAAAAGATCAAAGTGCTGGGCTCTGGGGCGTTCGGCACCGTGTATAAGGTAAGACCCCGCCTGGCGCGCGGCAGCCTCTGTGTGTTACTTTCATCCCCATCTGCTCTGTTTTGCTGAGCTTTTGGGAAATTCCACTGTTTTCCCAAGTAGTTGAGAGGAAATCCTTTATAACCCCAGTGACAAGTAAGTGGTCCCATGAGACCCACACACAGACCAAAAGACGTCATTTATTTTTAAGGGATGTCTGGCCAGGCGGGGGCCATGACAGATCAAGACAGGGGAGGGTGGCCTGTCCCTGCCTTACAGCATCAGAATAAAGCCCAGGTCAGAGGAGGTTTCTCTTCATCTCTGTTTTTCCTAGATCTTCTCTGCATCAAGTCTGGTTTCAGTGAGGCCTAGACCCAGCATCTTAGAATTCTGCAAGAAATGATCCATACTGATTTTATAACTGACACAAGCTTGAAATTCTTTTATGTGAATAATTGTCCAGATTCACAGAGCCTGGTAGCTAAAGCGCTGCCGAGTTATCGTGACTTGCAGCACTGCTGGCCTTGGCATGCAGGCTGTGGCACCGTGGTCCCCTTCCCATTAGGACCGTGTTACTAATAAAGTCCCTGCCTCTCACAAGTCAGCCTAGTGCACAGTGTGAGGATTGCCAGGTGACGTCTTCTCTCTCTCTCTGTCACAGGGACTCTGGATCCCAGAAGGTGAGAAAGTTAAAATTCCTGTGGCCATCAAGGAATTAAGAGAAGCAACGTCTCCGAAAGCCAACAAGGAGATTCTTGATGTGAGTTTCTGCTTTGTTCTGCAGACATCTGCAGGCGCTGGGAATCCAAAGCCACCTTTTCTGGTGTCTGGCAGCTTTCAGCTTTTTCTTCACCACATTCAAAGTGTTCACGGTTTGGCACAATTCCTTCCTCTTACAGGGGAGACTTGCCTCTTCCAGGGGGAAACTCACACCTGCTGGCCTCCACCAGGGGAAGCTTCCAGCCAGGCTCTCCCGAGTACTTGATAGGCCCTGTCGCAGTGAGCACTCACCATTAGCCTGCGGTGCGGGTAACACATTCAGTTTTTTGTGAGTGAAGAAAAGGAGCCATAAAGAAACTCGTTCAGCTTTACGTGGCTGGCATAGGGTTCAAACTCGAGTACTTGATAGGCCCTGTCGCAGTGAGCACTCACCATTAGCCTGTGGTGCGGGTAACACATTCAGTTTTTTGTGGATGAAGAAAAGGAGCCATAAAGAAACTCGTTCAGCTTTACGTGGCTGGCATAGGGTTCAAACTTGTCGCTATCTCTGACTCTGAAACTCATGTCCAGTTTGCTCCACCAGCTTATTTTACCTTTGAAATGACATTTTTTAAAGGTGCCTGCAGCTGACAGTACAATGCCTGCTCTACAAACCCTTGCCCACCTTCTGTATTTTCTCTCAAAATACTTTGTTATTCTCCAGTGTCAGCTGCTTACTTTACAGAATAAGTCTTTGGAATATTCCACGACATCACTGTCGTGGTTTCACTCTCAATTCTCCTGAACTCCGCCGCCTTCTCTGGACTCCCAGTCGCCTGTGGCGGGCAGCACACTCCTAGGAGGAGGCTGGCTGTGCACGGCCGGCCTGGAGTTTAGAGCCCACCGCAGTGTCGGCCTGGGCGTCTGTGAGTTAGTGAAAACTCTTGCTTTGGGCCCGAGGCAGAGCAAGTAAAAGAGCAGGTAGAGGTGCAGGCAGTGAGGGAGGGAAACAGAGTCAAAGCAAAGGGAAAATAGCTGCCTTTCGTGCTTCGAAAATCTGAGAATTTAGTTGATCTTACAGCCTAGAAGGACAAAGGCCAGATGGTAGTGCCCCCTCATATCTGACCACAGAACACGCAGCAAGCAAAGCAAGCGTGGACCTTTCCAAAATGTGTATGTAGATGCAGTGAACCCCAGCCGCAAAACACTGCATTCCTTCCCCCCTGGCAGCTTTCTCTCCTTTCGCTACAGTGGGAGACATCCCGTGTTGGGATGCACTTGTAAATGAAGGATGATGTATTAATACAGCGCAATGGAAAATCTTGTGTTGATGACATACTTATCCAGCAAAATCGTCTTTCACTTTAATGCTTTACACATCAACGTCAAGTCCCATTCACATAACCACAAGGAAATGATTTGAAGTCTTTTTACTTTCAACCTTCTAGCCCTCTCACCTGCACTGGTGAAAAGAAAATCTTGGGGCCGGCCCGGTGGCGCACTGGATAAGTGCGCCGCTTGGGAAGCGTGGTGGCACTCCCACCCGAGGGTTCGGATCCCACATACGGACCGGTTCCCGCTCACTGGCTG